GCCAATCAATGCATGACACGTGTCCCTATTAATAGAAGCGTCAGAGTTGAAGAGACATGAAGGTCAGACGAGCCATCAATTGAGTGAGTCAAGGAACCGAGCAAGGAAAGTAGCTCGGTTGACCTATTGCAAAACTGAGGACCGAGGCGTTACCCCGGTCAGAACAGGTAATCTCGGTTATGCATGCGTAGACGTAATTAAGGGGCAATTGAGAGGGAGATTTGTGATCTGGATTGGGCCGTGGGAATAACTGGGCAGATTTGGGCCGGACACAGTGGGCCATGGTAGCATGGGCCTGTCCAGATAGGTTGGACCGAGCTGTTTGGCTTCATGGTACAGAAACCGGTCAAGTGAGGATTCAACCGAGATATCCACTGCCTCACTGGGTTCCATGGTTCGAGAGTTAGCTCGGCAGGAAGGCTAACAGTTAACCCAAGCTCGGCTATGCTGGGATGCACCCGAGCTCGATCGTCATTTAATACGGCGAGCGGAGCGCTCTGGCTAGCTGCATAATATGGCCGTTGATAGCCGAGAAGCTGCAGCTCGGCTGCCGAGCTCCCAGTAGAGTGGGCTGGCAGTTTGGTTAGGTGGTGTTCAGCAAGATTTGTGCTAACAGATGGGATAGCAGCACCACGTGTTGAGAGACTAATGGGAGTAGATTTGGGGCGCAGAACGTATATAAGCAAGTCTGCGCCCCCATGCTGAGGCAGAGGCACATTTGGTAAGATTTACACTAAACACTTAATTCTCTCTCTCTCTCTCTCTATCCTTGTGTGTGTCTAACTTGATTGTCAGAGGGGTATTCCGGCCACACACCACTGGGTAGCTCACCGCCGTTGTGCACGCAGATCGATCGGACAGACATGAGCTTGGAAGAAAGGAAAACGGGTTTGCCTGAATATTTGCTCCCCGTACAGATATATGGTTGGTTGATGGCTTAGACTTGCCTTAGATGGTTCTATTTTATGTTTTTGAGTTTTGAGATTGATTATATTAATGGTCTGTAATATTTATTAAGGTTTAGATTTAGACACATAGTTTTATGGTTGGATTGGATATATGGTTGGTTGATGGCTTAGACTTAGACTTGGATACAAGGCTTAGACTTTATGGTTGGATATATGTTATTTTTTATTTTTTTGTTGGTATATGTTAATAACAGGGCAGGCCTAAAATGTGAGGCCCCAAACTTATGCAAGAATTACATGGCTTTAGGCCCAAATTTTATGTAAATGGATAAGAATATAGGCCCAAAATGTGAGGCCCAAACCTATGCAGGAATTACATGGCTTGAAGCCCAAATTTTATGCAAATGGATAAAAATATAGGCCCAAAATGTGAGGCCCCAAACCTATGCAAGAATTACATGGCTTGAGGCCCAAATTTTATGCAAAATGGATAGAAATATAGGACCAAAATGTGAGGCCCAATCAGCAAAAAAAAAAAAAGAGCAAACAAATCGAAAAACTGCACCGCACCGTAATAAATCGAATTGCGCTGGTTTATGTCATTTTTCTGGACGGTTTGGTTCACAAATATGTAAAACCGAAATTACCGATTTGGTGTAAAACTAGTGAAAAAATCGACCGAACCGAACCGATTTCACCCATAGTGCTATGTGTTTGTGTGTATTTTTTTATGGGTATTACATCATATATATATATATATATATATATAAAATATTAAAATAATATAGTACAAAAAAATATTTATAAAATATAATTTTTAATATTAAAATATATCAAAAACACCGAACAGTATTTACAATATTTCATATAGTTAATACCTCTACTAAAATATATCACAAACAAACACACTAAATATATCACAAATAAACACAATTTTCTTTAGTCCCCTCACTAACCATCTCCTCACTAACAACCTACCTAATCTAACTCTAAGGTCACGTTTGTTTTGCCTCTTGGAGGGTGGGATTGGTAGTATGCTTGTTGGGTCCATGACGACATGTTTGGTGCATTCTTTGAGCTCCTAGACTAACACTCTAGTGGTATTAATAATACTCCTCAGTGATCGGATTAGCTCTGCTAGGTTAAAGGTGGTATTGAAAAAATAGTGAGGGGATTAAGTGTATCCGGTCATCCTCCCAAACGTCCGCCCAAATGTTCGGCCGATTGACTAGAACAGTGCATTTTTTTTTTACCCAAGTGCAGCTATTATTTGTAAATAAAATTTATATTTGTTTTAGAATTTGTTTTTTAATATAGAAATATTTTATTCTTATTTTATGTAAAAATAATTTAACAATCTCATCATTAATCATTTCCCACACTATCATCAAAACAAACACATTTTTACTTAATCACCTCACTAACAATTCCTACATTAATAATTTCTTCACTAACTATCCCCTCATTAACAATTTCATCTAACGCTTAGAGGGTGGGATTGAACTAGCATGTTTGTTGGGTCCATGATGCATGTTTGATGCATTCTTTGAGCTTCTAGACTAACACTCCAGTGGTATTAACAATACTTCTTAGTGATTGGATTAGCTTTGCTTGGTTGAAGATAGGATTGGAAAAATAGTGAGGGGATGCCTCGTTTGGCAAGTAGCTATTTTAGTTTAAAAGTCAAAAAGTTAATAAAAAAATCAAAAAGCCTATAATCTATACCAAAAAGTCAAAGATTTTATTTTTTTCTCTACTTTCTGCACATCTTTTCGTAAAAAATCAAAAAATATCCCAAACATACTAGTTTTTTTAACCTCATATTTTAGCCAAAAAGCAAAAAAGTTACTAAAATAGCCTGTTCCCAAACGAGGCCAAGTGTATCTAGTCATCCTCCTGGACGTCTGGCCAGTTATCCACTCGGACATTCGACCGATCATCCAACCGGTCAACCGGAACATTGCATTTTTTCTTTTTACCCAAGTGCAGTGGTTTTTTGTAAAAAATAAAAAAAAATAATAAAATTATATTTGTTTTTGAATTTTTTTAATATAGAAACATTTTATTTTTATTTTATATAAAAATAATTTAACAATCCCATCACTAACTATCTCCTCCACTATCATCAAAACAAACACACTTTGACTTTATTACCTCACTAACAATCCCCATATTAACAATCTCTTCACTAACCATCTCCTCACTAATAATTTCATTCAACTTAATCTGCGATACAAACATGACGGAAAGGTATTTAACTAAACACATGTTTAAAAGTATTCTTTTAGCACAAACTCTCTTTTGAAATGATTTTTTCTTTTTTTGGCAGCTACAAGTATTCTTATTTTACCTTTTGTTTTTTTAAGAGAAAATATTTTTTACAAAAGACATTTTAAAAAAAAATTCAATGTTATGTTGCAATATTAAAATTAATATGCAAATGAATGTTAGAATGATAGGGGTGGTGGTAGAGGCAACCGTGGCAGTGAGAGTGGGATGGTGATGGTAAAAGTGGTAATGAAGGTTGGCAATGATAGTAGTGACGAAATGGTAAGACTTAAGTCTCAAAATAGGAATGGCAACGGGACAAGTTTGTAATATCCTGAACCAGCACCGTATCATATCAAGGGTGGGGTAAATTGGGATCGATAGGAGCAAATTAATTTTATAATTTTTAAAAATTGAGAAATTAATAAAAATTAGAGATAATATGATATATTACGAATAATAATTTATAATTAATTAAAGTCAAAAGATGTATGATGAATAATAAATAAATATTAAGTGTAATATTTTAATATTATAAAAGCAAAACCATTCCCACCCAACTTCCTCGTCGAGGGATAGGGAAATCTAGCATGAGGAGGGATGGGGTGCAGAGGTAGAGCAGGTGCGAAAAAATTGCCATCCCCTATTCAAAAAATATTTTTCACATTTTGAAAGTGAAAAATACTTGTCATTTACTTATTTCCTTCAAAATTTATAAAAAAATATTTTTTAAAAAATGTTTTTCGCTGAGATGAATAAAGCAAGCGAGCATGTCCTACATGTATTCACCACTTCTATTAAATTTGCATTGAATATTAATAAATAAATAAAAACTTGTAAAAAATGGTTTATGCATAAAATTACTCTTTTTCAATGTGAGAGTTGGGGGACTAAGATATTATCTGTTTCCCTTATTTTATCATAACTAATTTAGAAAATGAAAGATAAAAAGGGGGAAAGAAAATTTTGAACCCCTCGCTTATATGATTTTCCCAACTCACATTGAGAGGGTGATGATTCATTTCATTGCCATTTAGTAAAATTATATAATTACCGCCAAAATCAGTTTGATATCCTTCTACTATGTCTTCAGAATATTTTGACATTAACATCTTCCTAAAACCTTATCAGATCGATTTTAAAGTTAATTTCTTGTTTTTTTTATAATTGTTAATTACTGGTCACTCAAAAATCAAATTTTCTACTTGCATAGAAAACACAAAATTAGATACAATCCTCTCATATAAGTTCGGGATCTATAAAAATGTGAGATTCATCTCATGCAACAGAGTTATGTTCGATTCCATAATCAATTTTTGTATTCATAAACTTTTTCTATGGCAGTAAATCTAGAAGCATCCCATCATTTTAACCAAGGGAGCAGGACACTTTGTGACTATAGTCTATATCATACCTTGATGGATTGTAGGCAAGTCCAAACAGGGACAAGCTCTCCTAGAGACAATCTTGAGGAGGGAAATCATTGTCAGTAATGAGGATCCAAATAAAAAAACACATCAAAGAAACTCCTACAGTCCCATTCAAATCAAGCCAGCAAAGTCTCCATCCCAAAAAGAGTTAGCATTCCTCGTACAACTCCTTTAAAAAATAGTAATCCTAGTTTTAAATCTAGTCCATGCATCACTGCTCTAAATTACGCATACCAGGGTACATTATTCATCAAATTATTTAACCAGAAAGGATAAGCAACATGTAAATAAAAGCAGAGATTCAAATAAAGATACTCTGCATGCACCTTCACACACTGACTAATGCATAGTGATGTCATGTCACAAATGAAACAGTTTAAGCATTGGCAACAGATTGAAACGCAATTTGTTATCCTCACTGGGCTTTTATGTCATGAAAAATACGACAATGTTGTAAAATTATAGAAAGCGGAATCTGAGCTTTGATAATAATCAATATAGTACAAGGAAAACATCCTGGTATCTACAAATACAGAGATGATCTGCAACAATATCTATATCCACAATAAACTCACATCAAGCGCAACAACAAGAGAATCAATGGAATTATTTCTGAGATCTCTGAAAATAAAATAGATTTCCAAACACACCTTGGAAGTCTCAACCGCAAGACAGCTCCTTCCCAGTATAATGTGATGTCGATCATTTTTAGTCATCTGTGCATGTCTCAGAACATGCTGGTAACACAGCTGGAAATCATGATCTGCACGATGGTAGAGTGATTCCCCCACAACAAGCGGCAATTATTATGTAAAGAAGCACAACGATCAAGCATGTCAACAAAACCCTGTCACAAGACAATATAAGTTTCTGTGCATGAATGACAAAACCCCCAAGCTTCAAAATTAGGAACATTTTGGAGAATTACATAATCAGAAGACAACTTCGGTAAAATGAAAAAAAAAAATAAAAAAAGAAAGCATGTTGTATATTTCAAAAATGCCTTGATGAAACAAATCACACTTACAGTAGTCATAACTCAAAATTTGACAGCTTTTGATTATAGGGCAGAGTATATAATACACACAAAAAAAACTTCTAGATGGCCTGAAAAAAAAAAATCACTTTCAAATATTTTGCTGGCTACACTATAAAAGTGTTAGTGACTGTCCTTTTAGCCTTTCAACTTCAACCAAATCAAGCAATTGTCTTCAATTAGCATGATCTAATTTTCCATTGCTACTTTGTTTGCTAGAGGCTAGAGCAATATCTAGTTTTCCTTTGCTGTGTCCCTATGGGTCTTGGTTTTCTCCAACATTGTATTTACATAACCTATTTAGTAACCTAATGATTCACCAATTATTAGAACTTGTAGTCAGGATTGACTGCAAAGAGAGTTTCTTCCGCTTTAGATAAATCTTTCATTTCAGACACAGAGAGGGGGTGTTTGGGACATTGACTATTTTAGTAGGCTATTTTAGTTTTTGGCTATTTTAGTAGGCTAAAATAGTTGTGTTTGGGAAGAGGGCTGGATTTTTTTTAAAGTTAAATATGATATTTGTGAGAGAAAAATTGAAATGATTATGGGTTTGATGTGACATTTTGTCTAATTGGCTATTTTAGCCTATTTTGTCTTTTAGTGCTATTTTAGTCCAAAAAGCCAAAAAAATCCTTCCCCAAACAGGGCCTCAGCACTACATAATAGAGAAAATATATTGTTTCCATCTAAATTACTGCCATTTAGATATATATATATATATATATAATGAATTTTTATTATTTCCTAGAGGTTGTGGCCTGCACAATGACAAGTGCTATCCAACTCTAGCACTATGGTTGCGGCCCTTTGGTTTTGAGTCATGGGAATCCTCCTCTCTACAATAAATGAGGGTAAGGCTAAGGCTGCCAATCTATTACCTCTTTTAGACCCTTCTGTAAGAGGGAGTTTTTGGAATACGACTTTTAAAGAAAATTAACAAAATATTGCTTGTTAAAGGTTGAGTTGAGAATAATTTTTAATGCCCCAAAGCACCCAAAAGGGAAGCCAAAAAGTGAGACCTAAGCTGGATGAAGGATGGGTCATATGGGAAATTTGTAACGTCACAGATTAAGATAATCGATGGAATTTCAAAGTGGCAAACTTCAAAGAAAAAAAGGGAATATAAATGGATGCATCATCTCAGAATTGAAATGTAAATGAAGCACCAAACTCATGTGAAGTAAGAGAACGGAAAAACAACACTGATGAAGGACATACTTTTTACCCCTACCGTTGGTGCAAAACAAAAGATAGGCATAGTTATGCAGTTCTTGCATCATAATTGCAGTGGCGGTGGCGATGCTAACATGGCGATGACCTCAATATTAATGAAGGTGATGGTACTTAATAAAAGATCTTTCTCTTGTTATGATATTGCAATTTTACTTTCTTAATTGGCTCATTTCACACTGATTGGTAGTGCTAGAGGGCTAAAAACATGGTGGTCGCTTCAAAAGCATTGAAAACAATCTGAATAAATGATAAAAATCATAAAATCAATCCAATATGGTTGATTATAATAAAAAGAAAAGGTCCTGATTAGTTCTGCCATTATGTTTACTATTCTCTTATTCTTGATGCTTGGTACTGACAGAAATCGATCACAAAGCTATGAGAATTTAATGCAGAGTAGCAATTGGTAAAACTCACCTTGTCACCCCATCAAACACCTTAACTAGTTAAAATACAAAGTTAATCTTCAGATTATACTATGGATCAAAGTGGAAGTGGAATAATCCGACAAATATTATAAAGTTTAAAAGAAAACTATGGATCAAAGTGGAAGTGGAATAATCCGACAAATATTATAAAGTTTAAAAGAAAAAATTGTGAATATACTGGTAAACTACGCTCAATTGGTAAAACTCACCTTGTCACCCCATCAAACACCTTAACTAGTTAAAATACAAAGTTAATCTTCAGATTATACTATGGATCAAAGTGGAAGTGGAATAATCCGACAAATATTATAAAGTTTAAAAGAAAAATTGTGAATATACTGGTAAACTAGGCTTTGAAAAGAAATAATAATAATAATAATAATAATAAATTAAAAAATTAAAAAAAACAGAATCATCTTTGGGGGTATATAAAATATGTCTTCAGGGTCTCCTGCTTATCATTACTCTCAGCATTCCACTTTATCCTTCCTCACAACAATAGTTGCCTTTTCTACTGAGCTCCTCTTCATTATGGGTAGCCATGGGGATAGCTTACCAGAATTCACTGCTCAGTTTTTTACATATATCTCATAGAAGTGTTATGTTCTCTTCACCATATATATGTTCATCTCTGGGAGGTCCTCCCATCTTTGTTGGTGATAACAATTTCTCAAAATCTAATGGTCTTATCTTGCTTATAGACAGGACAGACAGGGTGGAGATGGTATCAAGGAATCTTCACAGTCCGAGATTGCAGGAACAGTTGCTGGATGGTAGTTATCTCCAACAGGGAAAATTAGGGTAGGGGTGTTTTGCCCATAAGAGCTAGAGCTATGCTATCGCGTCCTTACTTCCATAATGATTGACCTCTTTGCTTTCTTTAGGCCTAGGATGACTGATCCACTTTGTTATGTATTTCTGTTAGAATTTATCTCAAAATCTAATGGTCTTATCTTGCTTATAGACAGGACAGACAGGGTGGAGATGGTATCAAGGAATCTTCACAGTCCGAGATTGCAGGAACAGTTGCTGGATGGTAGTTATCTCCAACAGGGAAAATTAGGGTAGGGGTGTTTTGCCCATAAGAGCTAGAGCCATGCTATCGCGTCCTTACTTCCATAATGGTTGACCTCTTTGCTTTCTTTAGGCCTAGGACGACTGATCCACTTTGTTATGTATTTCGTATTAAATAATTCAATTTTTTCAATAATGTCCAAGCATGGGTGACTATAAGGAGAGAAAAGCAGCAGGACAATAGTACTTACAAGAGCTTGGCATTTTTCATCCAAATAGCTTGTCGAAGGCGCTTAGACTGTTTCCTAAAATGAAAAGCACCATCTTGCATTGTTGAAGTTTTGTCAACGAGAAGCTCAATCCGGTCACCCCTTTCCAGTATTTTCTCAATGTTATCCACCATGATAGTTCGTACCTGCATATTATTAATGCCAATGTCTGTGAGATAAACAAATATAAAACACAAAGGGGAAATTTAGAAATAGCTTTACAAGAACAGGCAATTTAGTAAATGGTTACAGTCTCTTCATAATCCTAGATCATTAAAATCATGAGAAAGGAGAATATAAGTGAAATTTGTCACAAAGTTCCTGTTTCTGCATTTTGGATAACAGCTTCCACTCTTGGCAAGCATTATGAATAACACAAAAAACAATTATTCATTGTTGATTTTGGATGCAGTTGAAAAAAGAATGGTAGATCCTTGAATTGATTTTCACACATGATAGAAGACATATTGAGAGAAACTTGAGAGTTGAGTGAGAATTTAGAAAGTTTTAGAGAGATTAGAGAGAGTACATATTGATTTGTGAGACATGAGGATTGGGTATTTAAAGGCTTTTGCCCAAGATTAGAAATTTATTATGAAAAAAGAAAAGCAAATATAACCTTCAGGCCAACGGTTCCATTTTAGTGAAAAATTCAAGTCGGGTTGGGTCATAGGTCTAGGTCAAGCTAATGGGTTGGGCTGAACTCAAGGCCCAGGCCCTACCCATGGTATACGGGATGTCAAGGGCCATGGTAGGAGATTAACTAAGCTGGGACGTGGGGGAAACTCCAGGGTTGGAACCTCATTAGTACATTAAGTAACCAGAGAATGAAGTATTTGGAGTTGGGAACTTAGCTAGAATTATTTTGGTTAGTTAATCCATTCATCCTCTTAGGCCAGCATTAGACAAATAAAAATTTACAAAATTAAAAGGAAGGGGGAAAAAAAAAAAACACGCACCTACACACAAAGGTACAGAAGAAAGTTTCAGTATTAGAAGACACTTGCCTCATTAACTTCACCCCTTACGCGATTAAGAGTATCTGCACTAGGATTACTGGAGAAAAATTCCATTTGCTGATGCAAGACTCTTGAAAATTCATCATTCATTGCATAAGCAGGGGCGTAGGGAGCCACTCTGCCATAGTTTTTCATGAACCTCATGTGAATATCCTCCAAGTATGTAAAAGGGATTCTCCCTGGACCAAAGTACAGACCACCAAATTGTCAGCTCATGTGGACAATAAGCAGCGCAGCAGATCAGAGTTAAAAATATCTTGTCAGCCTAGTTATGAGCAAATGAAGAAGTATAAATAGTACTCAAAATTCGGAAAATATGATATAGGATAGACTTTAGAAAGCATGAATAAAAGAAGAGGGAAAAAAGAGGATAATCTTAGACAAAATAAACTCAGGTAGACAAATGAAAAAGGTACAATTGTATAATCACTTAATTGATGCAGGCATATGGGTCCATTTCCATTCCATGGAATTGACGCATCATCATAAGTGTGCTTAAGGATCCTACAATCTCACCATGTCATGGATCTACATGTAGGATTTCACCTCCCAATCCAGATGTAAGATCCACCTCCCGATCCAAGATGTAGGATCCACCTCCCGATCCTAAAATACAATCCACTTCCCCGATCTACATGTAGGATCTCACCCCGATCTCCAAGATCTCACTATATCTAGTTCCACCACCCATCTCCAAATGAGATCGATCACGTGAGATTCATCACTTGCAATCCATCTCCACTTATACTTAGATCCTGAATAACCTAGGCAAGGAGCAGGGCCTAGGCTCTCTACTTAGGATCATTGGAGGATTTGTGCCTTGGAAGCTAGAGCTGAGGGATCATCAAGGTTCCTGCTCAGGACACTTGACCAGTCTTAGATGAGAGAGGTTTCACCAAGACACGTGATGTGTGATGCATCACACCTGCAATCACAACATGTTGCATGCCTCAAACTTGTACCATGGTGCATAGACTCTGTGCACGATACTATTAGGATAGGATCCACTGACCACCTGACCACTTTGATATGGTTGCAACTTGCAACAGAGAATCAAGACAAAGTATTATTAACTGATCGTGACAAAGCCAAAATGCAGCAGAGGTTTTTCCTATGCTCCAAAATTTTCCCAAGTGACTTACAATGCAAAATCTTTTTAAGCTTCTCCTTAACTTCCATGCAGTGGAGAAAAACTTCTGCTGTAAAACACAGCCAATAAACTAGCAGCTATCCAAAACAAGGGAATGACCTGCTACATTATCTGGGAATATGTAGGATTGTAAGCTGAGTAGATGGAAATTGGGAGCTTAGGAAATGGGCTTGGGTCAGGGAACCATGTCTGTTGTTGCGTTATAGGATGCTGCAAGCTTTCTTGCACAATACTTTATATTTTCGTTTTGAAAATTTTCATCTCTTATTGGAACATTTAGATTATCATTCCTTCCTTCCTTCCATACCCTGTCTTATAAGTAATACTAATACTACATAACAATAATTTCAATTTAATGTGTACTTTTAAGTGGAACAAGATTCACTGCTCAACTGCCTTTGTTTACTAAAATTAGCTTTTGTTTCTACAATGAATTACTGATTGAGGAGAAGAAGAAAACTCAAAATACGGAATATGACATCATCATCCCGGTTGATAGCATGGGCTTTGGTGAGTTACCCTGCATCTGTAGAATTCTCTAAGTTGGATTTAAATATTTCTGTGTGTCTCCCATTGATGGACTTTAAAAATAATCCTAACAGGTGTTTTCACAATTTGGATTTCCTAAAAATGGGATACATTCAATGCCAAGTGGAAAGAGCACATTGTGAAACCAAGTTGGCAAACCGTTTAAACAAAATAACTTCAAAAGGAGGCAAAGATTCCATCGCAATCACAATAAAAAGGGCTTAGCCACTCTTATGCAGTACCTTTTCTATTTATTTACTCATTACAAACTTTATGTATTTTAAGAGTGGTTGGTGTGTGGAAATTTAATAGAATTGAAATGCAATTCAACTGAAACTTCCTAGCCAAGTCCTTTATTGAGTGCATCATCTATCTTCATAGTTTTAAAGCCATTTGGCAAAACTTAAAAACAATAGCTCACAAGAGGATGTCATTAACTAATTATGAATGAACTATAACTTCAACCAAAAAAATTCCACACGAAGCAAGAAACTCACTTTTACAACAGATGATGATCACAAAACACAAAAAAAATTGTTGAACTTTAACCACCTCACTTTTCCCAGACTTAAATAGTTCAAGGAACTTATGCACACGAGAGGTGCCACCCTTCCGCGGGGGTGGGAATCCAGACCGATAAGGGACATAGGAATCACCCATTACTGCTCAGCAGGCTGAAATAGGTTTCTTAGGAGCCTCTGGGAGGTCGGGTATTTAATCCCATGATACACAAGGAGCAGGGCGTCGTACCCCAGGGATTCGACTAATACATCATAAAGTGGGTGTCGTATCCCAGGGATTCGACTAATACCTCCCTATTTGCATTTGATGCTAAAAACAGACTCAGGAAGAGGTTTTTGCTAGGATGAATGCAACTTCTATGTATTCCCAATTGCATTTTGATAGAATACAAAGGTTAGCTATATTGGGCAAATGATTCAATCAGCAAAATAATGCCAGTACATTCAACGTAAAAAAAAGGGGAAGCAGTCAGGTTGAACAAATTCCCCATTGTCCAAATGGCAGCTCCAAAGTTGCCCTTAACTTCTTATATGGAAATCACTTCCAAGTTCCATATCCCAGATAGGCAGCTAAACCATTTCATGCCACCGAAAGTAATAAAAATTAGTAAATTACAGTGCAGCCAAACTCAGCAGAATATGATGAGATCAAAACCCAATGAAGAATTGATTGCCACCACAAGATTCTCGAAGCTAGAGCATCAAATTGAAAATTTGAATTGCAAATCTCAACCTTAAAATCAACTAAAAATCAAAACATCCCCAAACAAAACCCATGCTATTGATGGACACATAAACTCAAAAGACAGTAACTTAACTTCCAAATCACTCGATTAATCTCTGTGTTTACACTTCCAATCCTCTTGAAAACCTCAGTTTTTAAGACGTTTAACTAAAAATTGAACAGCAATATGATATCAACTACAAAACCATTGATCCAAGACATAATTATAGAGAGAAAGAGAGAGAGTACGGACTTCCGAAGGTGTCGTTGGCCATACAAAGGAAGGTGAGAGCGTTGGATCTGAGGATGTGGAAGATGTAGCGATCCTGAGAGAAACAGAGTCTGGAATCGGCCTCCGACGGAAGCTTCTCCAGAATCCGCCGAGCCACCGCGCCGGTGTTTCCCGTGACGGCGCTGAACTCCGCCAGCACCGTCGTGCCTCTCGCCACCACCGCGTACAGAATCGCCATTCGAATTCCTCTCTCTCTATATATATATATATATATCTCACTGCTTCGATTGACGATGAGCTATTGATTTGAGGGTTTTGAAGGTTTCGGAGGATTTGTAGAGAGAGAGAGAGACAGAGAGAAGAGGTGATCGAAGAGAGAGAAACGAGGCTGGAGAGCGTTGACAGTACAGAGAGCAATGCCGAGATGTCACCGATTGGTCCACGGTGGTTTTGGTAGTGCAAAGTTTGATATTCTCACCACGACCAGCACGTGGACGTTTTTTTGATGCCTATCTTATTTCTTTTTTATTTATTTTAAAATATAGAATTTGTTTGTTTTAAAAAGAGCAAATTCTTTTTTATTTATTTTAAAATATAGAATTTGTTTGTTTTAAAAAGAGCAAATTCTATTTCATTAATAAATTTTATAAGAGATATTATTGATTTACTGTATTTGAATTCACCCGAATTGCTCGAATTATATAAGTTCGATATCTGTCTGAACGATTGCTTGGACAATCGGTCTTACTCTTATTAACCGTGATTGTCACTTTTGTCAATCGTGACTGTCACGTTTGTTCACCGATGTGTCAACTCTCATCTAATTAGACGACTTGCATGCACAAATTCAAACAATTTGAGTGAGCCCAAATTCGGTGGATGTAATTATGCTCATTTTATAAAATAATGATATTAAAATGTCATATTAAGACACTATTTGGCATAAATTAAGGGGTTATTTGGCATCTCCTAAAATAGTACATTTTTTTTAAAAATCTTTTTATCTTTTTAGATCATATCACCTCATTTTGTAAAAATTTAAAAAATATACTTATTTAGATCATCTTAAATAACTCCTAAATAAGTGCACTTACTTGGGTTACATCACATCTACACATTTTATTTTAGGGCAAATTACATATACCCCTTGAGGTTTGACTAAATTACAAGTATCTCCCTGAGATTTGAGAAATTACAAATTCCTCCCTGAATGCTATATTTGCATAACAAATTAGGGAGTAATTTGTTATGAAATATAAACCTCATGAGGCAAATTGTTATAAAAATATAAACCTTAGGGAGCGAGATGTAATTTCTAAAACCTCAGGGGATATCTGTAATTTAGTCAAACCTCGAGAGAGGTATATATAATTTGCCCTTTATTTTTTGTAAAAACTCAAAAAATAAACTTGGTCATCCAAAAAAAAGTCTAAAATTTTTTGAAATTTGAAAATTTCAAAATGTTGTCACAAAATCCAATGACAATATTTATCACAAAAGCTTGAGAACCAAAATGTTGTCTTGAAAATTGACTATTTATTTTTATTTTTAAAACAAGATGGGCTTAAGCAACTGTATTTTGGTAATAATTTTATGATCCTATTTTCTGTGCAAGTAGAGGAGCTGATTTATCCTTTCAATTTAAACAACATACTTATGTAATGACTTTTAAACCAACAAAACATGTAAATTACACATTAATTATTATTTTTTTCAATATTTCTTTGGGGAATAAATCATAATATCTCATATGATAACAATTAGAGAGTGAACAAACATCGATTTAGATTGAGTTCAAGTCGGACTTGAGTAAAAAAATATTTGAAAAATTTATGTAAAATCTAGGTTGGCTGACTCGGGGCCTAAAAGTCTCTCAATCCCAATCCTAAAGCGTGTGTTTGGGAAGCAAGTTCTAAATTAGCCACTACATGACAAAATAGACTTAATTAGCCAAGTGAAGACAAAAACTTGAGTTTTGCTTGGCAACAATCAATGCCCAGCTAAATTTACGAAACTACCCCACATGATTTGCAGGGGCATCGCCTCAGCACATGAAAAGTAAAAAAAAAAAAAAACTTTTCCCAAAAAAAACTTTTCCCAGGAAAAAACAAAGAAAGTTGAAAAAAAAATTAAAAACATTTTTTTGTTTTTTGTTAAAATATTTTATAAAAATAAATTCAAACTCTATTTATAAAAATATTTTTAAATATTTTAATTTTTTTGTTATGTATTTGGTTATGATTTGAGTGTAGAGTTGTGAAAGTAGTATGGAGTTTCGAGTTATATGTTTGGTTATGAGTTTTAAAAATAATTTATAAAAATAAATTTAAACTCTATTTATAAAAATATTTTTAAATATTTTAATTTTTTTGTTATGTATTTGGTTATGATTTGAGTGTAGAGTTGTGAAAGTAGTATGGAGTTTCGAGTTATATGTTTGGTTATGAGTTTTAAAAATAATTTATAAAAATAAATTTAAACTCTATTTATAAAAATATTTTTAAATATTTTAATTTTTTTGTTATGTATTTGGTTATGATTTGAATGTAGAGTTGTGAAAGTAGTATGGAGTTTCGAGCAGTGGCGGAGCCAGAAATTTAATTTAGATGGGGCACTTACTAATTACAATAATTTTTACAAAAAATATTTCACGTAAATTTTTTATGATTGATTTCAGGAAGTATCAAAAAAAATATTATTTATAACTAGTGTATCATGGACAATACCAAAAAAAAAAATGGATGTAAGCCTTAAAATAAATTATATAATGATAAATTATTTTTTGATACAAAATTTGATTAAAAATTCAATATAATGGTAATACCATGTCATCATTGGTATGTAATATCACCCACTAATGGTAAATAAATGCATAAAAAGTGAACCTCACATGTCAAATATAACTAACAATCTAATAAATTTCATATCTTTATAGTGAGATTACTTATACTCGCATATCACTAATAATGATATCGTCGTTGCATTCAAAAAATTTCATAGCTAATATAGTTTATTTATAATAGTCTCTTCATTTTCAATCAAAACAACCATTATTGTTTTCATAAATTTTAAAATGTCATTGACATTTCACTCTAATAATATTTTTGTAATTCTTTATTTAAATTTTTTTTTATGTTTGCCAAAAAAAATTCCAAAATCCAGGGGGGGCACGTGACCCCCTGGTCACATGCTGCCTCCGCCCCTGGTTTCGAGTTATGTGCTTGGTTATGAGTTTAAAAAATAATTTATTAATTGAGTTTTATTTTATGTGTTTGATTACGATTTGAGTGTAGAGTTGTTTTTAAATTTAAAATATTAACATTTTAAATTATTTCAATTATTTGAATATTTAAATTATTTAAATTTTTTTGTTAAAATAATTTTTTGAATATTTAAATTATTTAAATTTTTACGATTTAAATTTTTTGAATATTTATTTTAAATTTTTGCTTATTAAATTTTTTAGATTATTTACATTATTTAAATATTTAAAATAAAATTAAAATTAAAATAAATATTTAAATTAAATTAAAATTAAATTATTTAAAATACACAGGACAATAAAATAAAACCTCACTTTTTATCATTTCACAGAAAATGAAAAAAAAATTAAAATAAAAATAAAATAAAAAACACATGAAAAAACCATTTGCAAAAAAAAACTTAAAATACATAAATTATTTAAAAAAAATACGCCTCATTCAAAAATATTTAAAAAATTACAAAAACGTAAATTTCAAAAAAAAAAAAGAACGACGAAAATACGCCTCATTCAAAAATATTTAAAAAAAAAACATAAAAACATAAATTACCATTCGCGACGTAATTTAGAAATAAATCAAACACATGAAAACTCATTTTTGAAAAATAAAAAAAAGTTATTGTATACAAATAAAAATAAAAAAGAAAAATAACATAAATTAAAGAACAAGAACTAATTAATGTATAAAAAAAGAAAAATGACAAAAAAATAAATTAAAAAAAAACATAAAAAAAGGCCAAATCCAAACCCAATAGAGAAAAAAAAAATAAAATCAAATCAATTGTGATCCACGCCATCAACTGACGTGGAGAAGCAGAACCAATTCCTTTACATGTATTAATTATGTGAAGGGCAGTTTGGTAATTTATCATGAAGACACATCACCAAAAAGCTAAAAAGTCAAAAAAGGCAAAAAATCCTTCCCAAATCAGGCTTTTTAATCCTAGGCTAAAATAGTCAAAAAAGTCCAAAAGTCAACTCACTTCCCAAACGGAAGCAAAGTAATATTACAATTCTAAGCTCACCTAATAAATTTAGAGTAAATTGTTGAAAAATCCAAACTAAGAAGGGTATAAGTCATTGCGTCTAGTAGATATTTTTCGTTAGTGAGAGGTCCATCATTTGTGAAATAATTTGGTGAGAAATCTTTTTATTTGTTTTAAAGGACATTTTGTTTCTACTTTTACCCCTTAATTTATCTGTTGACTTTCGTTGACTATCTGTTCAAAAATTTTCCTATTTGTTCAAATTTCTTACTCTATATGTTCAAAAGTTTCAAACTATATATTTTTTATCTATTTAATTTTGTAACTATTTGTTCAATTTTTTGCTCTTATATGTTCAAATTTATATCTATTTGTTCAAATTTTTCAACCATCTGTTCAACAACATTTTTTTATCTGTTCAATTTTGTAACTATCTGTTAAAATTCACTAATTTTTTTTTATCTATTGATATTTACCAAACATATTTTCCCTTATCTATCGAAATTCTTCTTCATCATCATCATCAACAACAACAACAACAACAAAACAACCTACATGTTCTCCACTCTCTTCCAAACCAAGCAAAAAGAAAATCTCCAATGGAATTTTATCAACAACAACAACAACAATAAAATAATCTATCCGTTCAAAACATTTCATTGAATAACCACACATATATAGAGACAAACAACCTCTCCACACATTTTTTTTGCCACTATCTGTTAAAATCATAATCAACAACAACAACAACAATGAAAACAAATAAATACCAATAATTTAATAATAGATCTAAAAACTAAACAAACTAGATCCTTCAATCCAAACCCAGAGCCTTTATAACATATTCACACACATTACAGATCTAGATGGAAAATTTTACACAGATACACTAAGATCTGTTACTTAAATTTTCACATATATACAACATCCATCAAAACAACCAAAGATCCATCAACAAGAAGGCGACAAGGAATTAACCAATAAACCCCTCGCAAAAGAGAGCCTCTGTAATCATAGAGAGAGAGAGGAGGACTAGAACCTGAGATTTGGACACTCGATGATTGTGGAAAGGAATAATATTTCAAACAAAGATGCTTCTTGAAGCGTATATTAAAAAAGTGATTAGCTAAAATAGAAATGTAGCATATATAGGCGTATAATACATAAATTGATTGAGTCCTCACAGATCTTTAAACCAATGAAAGAAAATGGAACT